GCTCGAACGCGAGCCCTGTGCTAAACTTCGCCTGCCATGCGATCGTTTGTGCTACGACCTCGTCCGCAACCAGCTCCGATCGAAACGGTTTTCTGCTATCGAGAAAGGGTGCATTCGGAGCCTCGCGCGTGACGCTCTCTGGGCCAACAGCAGAGCGATAAAAGCGGGCTACCAGCTGGCGGACGATCGCTGTGCGATGCGCGGGCAGCACGGCGGCGCGCCTTTCCACGGGCTCTGGCGCTGCCCTGCTTTCGATTCGATGCGATCGGAGTTGGTCGACCGCGATGTTCTCGAGGCCGCGGACGCGGCGGATCCGCCAGACCCCCTCGCCGACCTCCTGTTCGGCAAAGGTTTGTTTCCCCACCCTGGGGGCGCGTTCCCTAGGCCTGCGGGCGAGGGCTATGGAGCCCAGGCGGCCCAGGTCTGGCACGCCCCCCCCCCCCCCCCCCCCCCCCCCCCCCCGCCCCCCCCCCCCCCCCCCCCCCCCCCCCCCCCCCCCCCCCCCCCCCCCCCCCCCCCCCCCCCCCCCCACCCACCCACCCACCCACCCCGACGATGGCGGTGTCAGTGGGTATATTTTCGTTGATGGGTGCTGCTGTAGGCGCGAAGTCTCTGAGCTCTCGAGGGCGGGGCACGGCCTAGTTTTAGACGACGACTCTGGCCATGAACGGTGCACGATTTACGCCCCTGCGTATGCTCCTTTCATTCAGACCCCCCAATGCGGAGAGTTTGCGGCCTTCGCCAGAGCGGGGATAGAAGTCACGGGCCCGTCGTCGGTTTTTAGTGGCTGCAAAAATGTTGCGGACCTTGCCTTTGCCACCAGAAAGTTGCAGGTTTCCGACAGGAGGCCCTACGCTGGCCTCGTGATGCTTTATAACCCTGGGGTCCCGTTTACCAATTCAGCTTCGAAGGTGCAGGCGCACCTCGACCCTCATGAAGAGGGTGTTGAGCCATGCGAGAGATGGTGCCGCTTGGGCAACCACGCGGCGGATCTGGCGGCTAGAGCAGGGGCCAATCTCCACCCTGCGGCCACGGAAGAGGAGCAGGAGGCTTTGGTTTTCTGCATTAGGGTCGCCACAGCTGTTTGCAAACTGGCGGCTAAAACCCTTCCTCAGTGGCCTCGTTTGGACCTCTCTAACTGCCCTCGGGGGGCCCAAGTCAGCCCCAGCACTGCCTCGTCGGAGGCGGCTTTACCGAAGGCCATGCAAGAGAGTCATAATTGTTTTGTGCGCCAGCCGTCTCATAAATATGCGTGCAGCCTGCGCCGCTGCATTGTTAACCAAAAAGATATGCTGGAGGCATGCGCCACATAGTGCTCGGTCGACCAGCCTGCGGACTCTGAGTCCACGGACTCGGCCATCGATGAATTTCGGTCGGTGGGAGGGGGGTGATGCTGGGCGGGAAGCAGCTTCACGAGTCACATGCCCTCCGCTTCTGACCGCGGCACTCGCTATGCGTTTGTGCGACGTGCGGCCGCACGGCTACGGTCGCCCCGAGACGTTTATTGCCCCAATGCGTGCCTGCCGCGCGTAAAGGCGTCCAGAACCTGGCCAGGATAGGCAAGAAGATCTTCCCGAGTTACAGAGGACCCTCAGACGCTGTGAAGGACGCACACGCGTCGAGAGTCCGCAGGGTGTTCGCCACTACACACACATCGCCCGTAGGCGAGATGGCGAGCGCTCTGCCGCACCGCCAGGAGGAGTCAGATAGTTCAGACTGACTCGTGTCTGGCCAATCGGCAGGCATGCACCTGCTCATGTCACTTGTGTCCTCTTTTGCACGGCCCGATGCGACTGACCCGTTTGGCAGGCACCCGTGCTTTCACCCCACATATGGGGCGAGGCCAGACGCCGTCCTGGCGCTCTCTGCACCAGGGGCGTCTGACCTCGTCGTCGTTGTGTGGGCGGTCGTCTTCAGTGTGTTGCGTGTTTCTTTTAGGTCTATGGCTCCAGGCCATCGAAATGTCTCCAGTGAAGGAGGCAACTTCGCGTATACCCCACATCTGGGGCGAGGCTTACTGTCGTCCTGGCGCTCTCTGCACCTGGGATGGCGGGTCTCGTCGTCCTTGTGTGGGCGGTCGGCCCATTCTTCTTTTGAGCTGCGTGCGCGTCCGTCGTGTGCGCACACGTGGCCGCTCGGCACGCATGTCAAGCACCCCGCTTCAGGGGGAAGGCGCGCGGCACGCTCGTCCGTGGTGCATTTCCTAACCGAGCACGGGGGCGGTCATAGGACTGCCCTGCCTGTGGCTCGGGTCGTGGCGTCGCAGGGGCCAGGCTGCCACGGGCTTGGACCCCACACTTCGCGAGGTGTCCTACACTTACATGACGTTTTTCTTTTCTGTGCTGCCGAGGTCCCCCTCTGGGGGGGTTTCCCGTGTTGCTGCTTAGTTGTCGTGTGTCTCGGAAGCGCTCCGCCTCATAGAGGCTCGCGCTGCGGTTGCCAGCTCTCCGCTCCCCAGCCGCACCCGCAGATTCCGACAGACTGTTGCTGCTGACCTCAAAGGAGGCAACCAGCGGCTGCAGTCTCGCACAGGAGAGGCGCTTGTCAGCGGGAGGTAGCGCCTTGTGCCCTGTGGAGGGCATGCATCCCGAGGCCCTGTCAACAAAAAATCCTCCTCCTCCTCCTCCTCCTCGTCTTCCGCCTCCTCCTCCTCCTTCTCCTCCTCCTCCCCCCTTCCTCCTCCTCCTCTTCCCCCTTTCCTCCTCCTCCTCCTCCTCTTCCTCTTCCTCCTCCTCCTCCTCCCCGCCCTCCCCCTCCTCCTCCATTCCTCTTCCTTATACATAACTTTTCCCTGTCGCACCCCGAGGCATTTTTTTGGGCGTGCTGGGCGTTTCGCCTGGGACTATCTCACCACTTATGAATCTGATTAACAAAAACTCAAGTGACAGCAGTGGTTTTCAAAATGTGATTCTTCCCTTGGCGCAGCGCACAGTCGTTTCAAACATTTGCACAAGAGCTTCACGGATTGAAGGCGGGTCGTCTTCAAAATGTGGTTCTCGCCTTAGCGCCGCGCACAATCGTTTAAAACGTTTGCAAGAGCTTCACGGATTGGGGTCGTTCTCGAAATGTGGCTCTCGCCTTGGCGCCGTGCACGTTGGTTTTAAACTTTTGCAAGAGCTTCGCGGATTGAGGCCGGCTCTTTTTTTCAAAAAGTGGCTATCGCCTTAGCGCCGCGCGCATTTTTTAAACCAATTGCGAGGGTTTCACGGATGTGCATGATCAGCGTGCTAGAATAATGTTTTGGGAGTATTCAGGATTATGTGGGTGCAGCAGTTGTGTTGATTCGCGGTGTTGAAGTACCAAACATTGCGTTCTGGTACGATGCCGGATCGTCAAGACGCAACAGTCATGTTGATCCGTGGCGTTGAAATTCCGAGCACGATGTTTTGGCATGCTTCAAAATATTCCAACGAGGCAATTCCCTCAATGGAAATGAACCGTTGTAGGGGCCTGTGAACAGGGAGCTTGGAGGGTTAATTCCAACATCGCTGATGACTCTTGGGTTTACACTGGTCCTCCTCCTCCTCCTCCTCCTCCTCCTCCTCCTCAGAGGAGGAGGAGGACGAGGAGGAGGAGAACGAGAACGGCGGGATGGCATTGCGGTGCGTTCCCGTGCTTCGCGTGGCCGGGCACTCGGAGGGCCTCAGATCGTCCCCCTGTTCCCCTTCGAGTGGGTGCTGGGCCTGGGCGCCAGGCTGACCGTGGGCAGCGTGGATGACAAAGCTCTGGTCCAATGCTGGCGAATTTTATTTGCATCGGACCTGGATGCTTCTACTGGCGGTGACTCATCTGGCGATAAGTCTGAAGCCTCGTCGCTCTCTCGGATGTTTTTCGGGGACTGCTGCTGCTGATCCATGCGGCGCTGCTCCGGGGTTACCTCTGCGTCCAGCCGCGTCATCTTGCGGCGCAATCTGTCACGGTCAAGGACGCTGCCAGCCTTTGAAGACCTGCGACTCCAATTCAAGTTTTTCCGTCGGATTGTCGATTCGAGGTCTTCTATCTTCTGCTTCATGAACTCCTGAAGTCCTATGATCTCAGAGACGCTGACAGGTTTTCCATTACGGCAGCGCACGATGACAGAGAATAACTCGCGATATGAAATCGAGGAGTCTTCGAAAGGAAACAAGAGCTCGGCCAACATGAAGAGACCGTCGACGTCGGTCCCACACGCTTTCAGAATTTGTAGCACGTCGGAGTTCTTCATCATCAGTTGGAACTTCTCATTGTTAATGTATTGACAATTGTCGTCCATGTAAACTTCGACGATCCCCTCAAGATGGCGCTCGAGATATTCAATCTCTCCTATGTCCTTATCGTTCATTGCTGTGTCGATGGCGACGCTACAGAAGGTACCAACCAGCATGTTCAACAGGCCGAAGTAGGTCAAGAATACGAAGATGGCGAATACCAGTCCTTCGAAGATCGCGTTATGCAAGCGCAAGTCGTCGAAGAATTCGCTAAGACCATCCATGGCAATGCCGTGGGAGATCAGCGATGTGATTGAATGTTCAAGACTTCCGAAGTACTTCTCCCCCACACCACTGGGATCACTGCCAGCGGTGAGCACCACACCACAAGTATAAAGGAGGACGGCGATTATGATCCAGGTGTCAGCGGCCGAGCGCATGCCGCTCGCCACCCCCCTGCATCGGGGAACGAACAGATACCGACACCGCTACTCCAAGGGCCTTTCCTTGGGTGCGATGTGACTGAAATTTCGAGGATACTCCAACAGTGGCGACGACGGCTCTCCAGGACGAGCAGCGGTATCGGTATATGTTCCTTCCCAAGCCTCAGAACAGTAAGCACGACCGTTCTTGCGCGGGCCATCTTGAGTAACCACAGTAGCCTCATCAATCGCAGCGCCTTGCTGGCGGACGAGGGGCCCGCGGCGCCCGCCAGGTAGGGTGCCACCGTAACCTCCAGCAGTATTGCAACGGTGCACATTGCGTCCAGGCAGAACCAGGGGCTGAGCATGCCATTCGCCTTGTGCTTCATGCTCATGATCTGAAGCGTGATCTCGACAACACAATACAACGCGAAACCATACTCGATTATCCGCCAACGTTCCCCCTGGCACGCTGGGGCGCGGCAGGATGCCAAGTGCTGTCTGGTCAGTGTTCTGTAAGCTGCTTTCAACGGCCCCCTCCGTTTACTAGCGGAATTCTGCGTGCACCGATTCCCCTCACAAAGTCACTGTCTCGCAAGCAAATTTCTGGACCCGCGCACCCAAAGCCACGATCCCACGTTAAAGATTATACACCCGCACTCCGAAGGCCACGACTCCGCGCACGACAACACATGTACCCGCGCTCCCTTAGCTACGGTCACATGTCAACAGCGATGGATGCGCGCTCCCAAATTTCGAAGACGGTCGATGCAGGCGACCAGGGCTGCCAATATGCTTCAATTTGCCTGCAAGACGGCACAACATGGCCCCAAGACTAAGACTATGTACTCAACTGGCATTAGAACGGATCAAGAGGCCCGAATCCGAGAGAATCACAACATGACCCGACCGAAGATGCCATGAAAATGGGGTCCCCACATGCTTTTGTTTGACTTTTGAATTGGTTTGCCTTTTACGTCGCAGCGCGGCAGAGGCAGTCCGCACGCGCGCTCGGGCAAGCCCGGTGACGACATTGCGACTTGCCCGGATGCAGACTGGGAAAGAAGGGAGAAGAAAGCGGCCACGGGAGGAGGGGAAAGACTAAAGCGCTCACGCGGCGGGGAAGGAGAAAAACCGGCGATGCACGCTTGGCAGCGGGCACCGGGCGGCGCCGCGGCCACCCAGGGGCCGGGGCAGCGGCTGCAGTGCGACAGGTCGAAGACCAGCTCACGGGAGAGGAGGGCGCGAGAGCGGGCAACAGCGGAGCTGCAGGTCGTCCCGGGCGGCAGAATGCAGGGGGACGCGGCTGGGCGACTGCAGGGCGGGCTGTGCTGTGAGCGGCGACTGCTGTGGCAGAGCGGGGAGGACATCCCCTCGGCCCACCAGGAGGGAGGCGGCGCCGCTAGCGGCGGGGGCGCGTGCGCACGTCCGCCAAGCAAGCCAAGGCTGCGGGGCTGGGGCGGGGCGGCGGAGGCCAGGCGCCAGCCACAGGGGCGGAGCGGGGCGCTTCCGCGGGGGCCCGACGGGCAGCGCGAGGGCCGGCGGCAGCGGGAGGGAAGCCGCGCGAGCGCCCCTTGCGAACGGGGAGGGCGGAGGGCAGCAACACCTTGGCCCCGGCCAGCGCACGCCTCCCAGCCGAGGGCGGGTGGCATCCCGCCCCCGCGGGGGCAGGGCGAGGGCCCCCGGCAGCACGGCCCCCGGGAGGCAGGAAGAGAGGCGGCCGCGGAGGCGCAGGCGCCCGGGTCAGCATGGCAGCCGGACGCTCTCCTGCACGAGGCGCGGGCCGGCTGGCGCAGGGCCATGGCTGACGGAGGGGGGGCGAGGCTCGGTTCGGCGGCGCGTGCGCCAAGCGGGGCGAGACAGCTGCCAGCGGCAGCAGCTCCCAGGCAGGCAGAGGGAAGCGACGCGCCAAACTACATGATGCGTCAGCAGCGGGGCCGCGAGAGGGAGAGAGGAAGGCGCGCCACCTCGGGTACCCGTGTTGCCACCAACGTACTTAGTACGACGCCGGAGACGCCATGCCTCCTGCGTCGCATGATGGCCTCTCCAAAAATCACCCCCCTGATTTCCCAAAAGGATTGCGGTTTAGGATGTCCCGCATCCCTTCACTCACGTCATAACTGTTTCACGTGCGATGCTATAGCGACGTTGACGATAACGTCGGTGAGATATGACGACAGCAACCCTGATGATTGTAAGAAGGAGAAGGGGCAGGAGAAAGACTATAAGGAACGATAAACGCAACATGGAGCTCATGAGTCTCTCTCCGAAGCAATCTTAGAGCCTCTTCGTGACCGTCTTGGGCCGTCTTGGGGCCGTCTTGGGGCCGTCTTGGACCGTCTTGGGCCCTCTGAATTTTTCTACGGGCCGTCTTGGGCCGTCGGAAGGCTCTTTTGGCGTCTCATGAGGCTCTCGTGGCCGTCTTGGAAATTTCTTGGGGCTGTCGCGGAGCCGTTTTGGAGCCGTCTGCAGACTGCCATCGAGTGGCCTTCTGACGGCGCGTTCGGTTCCTATGGGGGACTGATGACGCCAAAGCCAGGAAGCACCTCCTCCCCTTCTCCTCCTCCTCCTCCTCCTCCTCCTCCTCCTCCTCCGTCTGTTTTTCTGCAAGGTCTGCGCTATACGAATCCACGCGTTGCTTCTCATTTCGGCGGCATTGTGGTATCCATGGCGCTGGCGGTGTAGCCTTCCTGGGTTAGCTGCCGTGGTCGGAGGTCCCTTGGCAGGAGGACGTGATCAAGTCTGCGGCCCAACTCCTCTTGGATACCATGCCCCCCGCAGCGAAGGATGTCATTAGTCCCCAGACTGGAAGAACCAGGGAGGAGGTCCCATCGTCACCATGGCGGATGAGGTTGGATGGTCTCCTACTCGCAACGACCTCAAGAAGAACAGCATCTTGCTTGAGGTCTTTTTGCAGCACTCACTATCTAAAGTGCCTTCAGACTTCTGGTTCGCAGACGTGCTCCTGGCGGCCGACTCGGAGCTGGAAGATGTCTTCATCGCCCCTGGGAAGGACAGGTCCGAGAAGGTCATGCAGGCTGTCGGAGAAGGCGGGACACTGAAGAAACTTATCCAGTATCTACGGAAGATGTGGCGCGACGCCAAGACAAGCCGATATCCGATTGACAATGACCTCAAGAAGCATCTGGTGGACGGGGAGGAGACAGGCCAGGAGAGCAAATCCGACCAGGACGGCTCGTCCGAGAGCGAGGCTGTCGCAGAGGCGGCGGCCGGGCATGAGGTGGGCGCAATCGAGTGCGGCGAGCCTGGGGACAGCAAGCCCGAGGGCAGCGAGGCCGCCGAGATGGACAACAGCTCCTTCCTCGCCGAGCTAGCTGCGATGGAAGATGACCATGGCGCCCACCACGGGTCAGCCAAAAAGGTTGTGCTCGCAAACGGCACGGTCGGCTCGGACGACGACTTCATCCCAGAGGAGTCGAAGGATTCTGACGGCCAGGCCAGTGACGATGACGCCCTTTCAGCCGCCACCCTCAAGCTGGGCGGCAAGGTCAGCGAGAAGGCCGATCCACTCGAGAGTGAGACAGCGATGCTGGCTTACCCGAGGATGGCGTGCCCAGCACGATGGGGACTTGTTCGCAGGGGACGCGGCGGGCATCGATGACGCCGCCTTCTTCGACGAGTTGGACACATTGGACGCTGCAAGAGCCGGGGGCGCGCCGATTGCGCCTGGGCAGTGCAGCATAGCGACTCCGAACGGCGAGGGCGAGCAGTCTACGGCGAGCACGGGCGGCAAGGGCGAGACGGCTGAGAAGCGCGCGGTCGAGGAGGAGGCTTCCGAAGGACAGCTTAGCCTCTTCAGTCCAGACGAATCCGAGGTGATGAAGGAGCGCCTGAATTCCAAGCATCCTCCTCCGTCGCTCGTTTCAGCGTGGAGCTCAACCGCTGCGGGAAAGTCGATGCCTCCTCCATCCGAGAAGGCCTCCAATAATCATGCGCCGCTGCAGCCGGCGAGCGTTCCTGGGCTGGTCGGCGCACTGAAGGCTGCGCCAGTCGAGAAGGCAACGCCTCCCAAGAACGTCGCTCCTCAGAAAAGGCCCGCTGAGGCGAAAGAGGAGGGCGAGAACAAACATTTGAAGGCGGTTGCGGCTGCGGCTGCTAAGACTGCTAAAAAGGATCGGAGTCGGAATCTGAAGGACGACTCCGCCGACGAAAATGAGCTCGCAGCATTTCTCAAGAGCCTCAGCGTTCCAGACGAGTTGGTCCTCTCGGGTGAGTTCTCTGGCGGGCAGCACGGATACACCATGAAGAGCGAGAACGGCGCCGTGGTGGAAGTACAGATCCGCTCTGCAGCTTCCTTTGCGAAGAAGAGCGCTGGCGGGGTCAAGGTCACGGGAAAGCAGACGTTCTCGTGGTCCTCGGCCGGGCCTGAGAGCACGTGGCAGGAGCTGCGCGGCATGCTGGGCTGGGAGTGAGAGTCGTTGCTGGCCGCCAGTCGCAATCTGATCTGAAGAGAATCGCTCTGATCGGCTCTATGTTCATGGAACTGTCGCGCATACTGCAGGTCACATCATCCCCATCTTCCGTCTCTCTTCCTCTTTCAAGTTTTGTGACCCCCGAGGGGTCTTGGATGACCCTCGAGGGGTCTTGGATGACCCTCGAGGGGTCTCGGATGACCCTCGAGGGGTCTTGGATGACCCCCGAGGGGTCTTGGACAGTGGTTCGCGGTCTCAAATCCTCCTCTACCTCCGCCTCCACCTCCCCTCACCTGATCGCGTCACGTCATCATGCCCTCCGCATCCTCCGCCACCTCCTCCTCCGCCTCCTCCTCCTCCTCCCCGTCCTGCTCGTTGCACGTCTTGAATGTGTTGTCGTTGAACCAGTTGTCATGTTCGTTGCTGCCTGTCTCTCGATATTGATGATGGCCTTGTCTTGGTTGTTGAATTGCCAGTGTTTTGCACTTCAGCGGTGCTCATTCATATATCTGCCTAGAACCATCGCGCGCGCTTCGCGCGCGCTCAAGTTCTAGCTAGGCTTGATAGGCTAACTCATGTCATCTCATGTTGGTCGCTTCTTGCGTCCAGGGACTCCCGTGGAGGACCTGCGCAAGCCTCGGGATCGTATAGAAGGGGAAACGCGGAAACGCAGAAATCATTAACTTCCTTTAGGTATTCAACGATTTGGGGCCCTTAAAAGCTTCCTGGGTTCGTTTTTGGGAAGTGAGGGGGGTCTGATTTGTAATCTCTGATGCAAGAATAGGCCAGGGGCCAAACTTGAAAAAATCAGGAGTTGTAGCAATTCCATGTTTTTCCAGTTCCTCGGCGCTGTTCGGCGCTGTTTTTTTGTTTGTGCCTCGCGGGTTTTGTTAGCCGGGCCCCTCAGGGGTGTGGGATCTTCCGGACCCCATAGGGGTTCTGGAGGCCTCCTGGAGGCCTGGAGAGCCGTCGGAAGGGTGTCGCGGCCTGCGCGGGAGCGTGTTGGG